CCTAGTTGGATATGTGTGATGGAAAAAGTGAGAGATAATGAGAGGGAAAACAGAGAATCAAATGGTGAAAGAACATGGTTTGGTTATCTATTTGTGTTGATATTTTACTGTAAAAAGATAATCATGTTAATTATGTTTATTAAAATTTGCTTTTGTGTGTGATATTTTACATGGTTTTAATTTTTTTTAGGTGAAATTTTATAGTAAGTATTGGGAAGAAAAAAATTGTTGCAGGTAATATTTCAATGATTCGTTTAACTTTAATCTATAACTTTTAATTCTTGAAATGAAATTGTAGCAATAATGTTTTAGTGAGTAACTTTTATTCACTTTTTTATTTGTTGTTCAATTTGATATTTTCATATCTTTTTTACTTTGGTTACAGGTTAAAGAATTTTCTTCCAAAGTTCGTTAGTAATTTTATATTTAAAACAAATTTAATTCAAATCAATAAATATTTGATAATAATTTTGATATCTCAACAATATAGGTATTTGGTTTTTCGTTTTTATTAGGATTTTAGTTGTCATTGTTTTATCAATTATCCATGATTCTTATAAATATAAAATATTTTAACATATGGTATAGCTATGCTTGAAGTGTTTAAAATGACGTACTTTGATCAATTATTATAGTTACCATTATATTAGTCAAAGGATGCACTAAAATGATGATAGTTGAGCATAACCTCTCAGCTATAGCTTAACAACTAGCGGCACAACTGTTTTTTCACCTTTGCAAGTGAAAATTAATGAAAAATGAATCAATCCCTCATCTGTGATGAATTTATGTATACTTCTCAATCCTTAACCATATAAAAATTATCTCAATGTAACAAAGCATGAGAACAACTATGCATTTTGATTTTCTTAATCAAAACATTTTAAAAAAAAAAAAAAAAAAACCTTCTTTTTGAAATTGTTTCTTTAGGTATTGTAGTTTTGAGTACTACAAGTAATCAAAAATACATATAAGTTAAATCTATTGTAACTTACCTTTTATTAACTTTTTCTAAGCTCAAAATTTTCTTGAATTGCTTTCCTTTTCTTCAAGTTTTTGAGTATTCACTACTATTTGTGAACCTTCATGCCAAATTTATGATGTGAGGGTAAGAATAATATCATTTTCTTGTTATAAGAACCAAGGTATGTCTCACATTGGCTTTCACTGTTTAATATGGCTTAGTTATGGATTTTAAATTCAAAAGGTATTGATTGGCTAAGGGACATTTACCAGAAGTTTGAAACTGGCTGCTCTGCATAAGGTGGATAATATCGTGAACCAAGTATCACTTTAGATTTCACATTTCTTATTCAAGTGTTTTTATTGTGCTTCTAGTGCTCAACTTGAATTTCACTTTTGATTGTTTCACTTAATTTGGATTTTTGTTGTTTATGCTTAAGGTTGTTATTGGTAAGCATGATGGTAGGGAAAATACAATAAGATTAAAAAATGGGTAGAATTACTAACCAAGATTGATTATAAAATGTAGTAAATGAACTTTGAATATGAAATTGCAATGTATTCTCAATATTGCTTCAATTACTGATTTTAAACACAAAATATATAAATACTAATATTTCCATATGTTAATATTTTATGTTTCTTGGATAAATTTTATTTATATATTTAATAATTTAATAATGCCTCGTAATGAACACTTACTAGATCCATTCTATCATCATTTGTTTCACTAAGGAATTTAACAAGTCTTGACATTTTTTCAAATAATTTAAGGGATTAATTCCTTGAGGCATTGGGGTCTTATTGAAGCTAGGAAGTCTAAATCTTTCAAACAATAGTTTAACGTCTTCAATACCTTCTCAACTTGGTGACCTTGGTATCTTGGTTGACCTTGATCTCAGTAGCAATAGTTTGTTAGGTCGATACCACAAGATCTTAGAAGGCTAAGGAATTTGCAGAGAAATAGTCTTAAGGAACAATGGTCTCAATGGGCCCCTGTTGGTAGATTTGTTTCTTGCTCTAATTCAGTTGTAATACTTTCATAGTTAAAACAAGTCCGTAGCATAACGCAGGCCTGCCGGCTAGCGAAGAATGAAAATGATGAGATTGAAACTCTCAATATGCATATCTTCTAAAGTTTTCTTAGTCACTAAACCAGAAACCGAAAACAATCAATATTGGATTTTATTATTCTACTTTAATTTTGTTAAGTTTTGAACATTAAAAAAAAAAAAATTGAAAGAAATTTTATTTTGTGAAATATTTCATATTCATTAGTTTTTTTAAATCAATGTAAATGAAAATACAATGACCAAATTTGTCATTTTCATAAACAAAATATTCCGCTAAAGTATCGTAGTACCATTAATTTTTTATACAAGAATCACATAAATAAAATACGTATTTTACACATAGCTTTTGGATCTGATGAAAAGGCGCCACATTTGAAAGATGTCTACAAACCGAAACAGCGGAAATTATTGGGGAAGGGATGAAAGGAAACCGTCTAAACTCTAACGGAGAATCTAACTTTTAGGTCTACTCTGATAATCTACTTATCTCCCTTTTTCTTTTTGGTTTCACTGTTTCTTTTCTTGTTCCAGTCTGGTGCACATGTATTTCTTCAGCAAGAATCAGACCATCTACTCTGGAAAAGTCCAAGATTCTGTCTGTTAAGCTATCTAGCGATATCCAACTGATCCAAGAAAACCCTTCAAATGAAACTGTGATTTTTCAATGATCCAGTTGCACGTTAAAGCTGTAAATCAACTTTGAGCCTCTTTCTTTTTGTGAAACAAAGAAAATTACTCTGCCGAGTTCCTCTATTTGTCTGATAGCAAAAAGAAAAGTCGCGTAATTTTACTTACAACGTACTAAAAGAAGCGAAGCGATCGTGGTGAGCATGCGTACGTGAAGGTCAACCATAGAGCAAAAATAATAATAATTAAATAGAGTCAGATGGGGAAATACAGAGTTTTAAATGTTGTGCTGCTAATATCACCGCGAGAAGAGATAAACTAGAGCGACATAGATAGCAGGAACAAAAAAATTAACTATGTGGTCGGATCTACCCGACCCACAAAAAACGGTCCTGATATTTAGCCGGTATTCGGCGCAAAACCGTACCCGCAGCCCAATGTAGGCCTGCGGTTGCAGGCCACGCCTTAACTGTCCTTTTCTTTTCTTTTTTCTCACTATAGCAACTGCCACTTTGTCTCAGCTTTAGGTGAACATGTTACCAGAGCTTAAATCTTTAAAGCAAATTCCCTGCCTGGTTCTTTTATACCATCACCTAGTTTTATTACACTTTTATTTATAGATGTGTACATACATCATCTGTAATTATACTGTTTTACGCAATAATATTTCTGTACAATAAAAAAACTAAAAATTCTATCATGTACTGGGGATGGTCCCCCGTTCCCTCCTCCCACTTTCTTCATTGTCACTCCCTTTGCTTCCTTCCGAACCTCCAATTATAATTTGCTATCTCATAGTTCGTAACCAAAGTTTTTGGGATCCAATTCAAGATAAACAACAGTATTTGCTAGTATAACGTAGCCGATCGATTATTATTATTATTATTATTATTTTAGTTATATGATTAAAGTCAGGATTGGTATTATTGTTGAAAGTATTTTTTTTATTTAAAAACTGTTTTTGATCTAATATCAATACTAAATAAAAAATAGCTTTTCAAATTATAAACCTGATTTTCAAACCCAAATAAAATAAATTTTGCTTTTGCTGCGAAAAAAATAAAAATTACTATATTATTTTAGATTTTTAATATTTTGTAACTTTATACATATCTTTTTAGATATTTTTACTATTTTAAATTTTTTTTTATAACAATATCGAATACTTAAAATTTTTAATCATATTTTTTAATATATTTTTCCTTGAGCATTTTCCTACAGCAACAACAACAACAGTGTCAAACTAACCTAATTCAACTGTAGAGTTGCCATTCCCACTGTCTAGCCAGTGTGGAATCCACATTATCTTATGTTGCCTTGACGTAAAATCTGTACAATGTTTTGCTCCAAGCTGTGGGCTTTTCGCCTACTAAAAAGCATGGATGGTGACGGCTTAAAAAATCTACTAATTTGATATTGAAAGAAGCTTCTCCTACATGCATTATTTTAATTTTTTGGTGACTACTACTGTTACCTTTGATATCCAAAAGTTTATTAAAGCATTACATAAGAATGGAAATAGTCTTGTGGAAAAAGGTACTAATGTTTTTTTTGGTTAAAAAAACATTGAATATGATTTACATGTAAGACGTTAGTATTATTTATGAAATTACAAGTCAAATTTCAATTATGTCTATATATAAAAAATTAGTAAATAATAAAAAATATAAATAAATGCACAGAAAATTAAACTCATGCAAAAAGAAGACTTAAATTTAAAATTTCAAAATTCTAAAACCATCTCTTTATTATTAAATCAAAACCTCATTAAAAATTATAATAATATTTTGTTTGGCAAGAAATATCCAGTGCGCAGGGAAAAGAAAGGACTGATCCTGCTCCCCAACTGAAAAAGACGGGAAAGTAGGAAAAACATATTGTTGCTACTGTTATACTAATTAGTATATTTATCTTTTGCATTGGAAGTTAAATCATGTGACTTGGCTTTTGCTACTTTCTATGTAGCAAAAGCAAAGTAGCAAAAGCAAATCTTAATTTAAACCGCACAGAATCAGAAAAATAAGCTAAATAGCTCAGCGAAGGTAAACAAATTGCAAAACAATGCAGTCGTAATTTTTTTTTTTATTCTGGTTTGACCATAATCCGTTAATGCTTTAGAGGGTAGAATGCTCTTGCCCTTTTCATGGGATTAGGGGTTCAAGCAACAAAGTCAAAGACAACAACGACGATCAAGATCGTCATCAAGATCAAGCTATCAACATCTTCGTTTGTTTTGATGAGAATCCAAATCAAAATATAGAAAAAAGGCCACAAATGCGCGTAAGGGTCACGTCACAAATAAACAAAAGTTTAATCTCAAGACCCCGACAACAAGGACGGAGGTAGCCGTCTATGCAAAAACCCTTCAGTTTTTGTCTGAAAAAGAAGGCTGTTTTTATGTCTCGAACGCCTGGATATTTAATACTAGTACACAATTTTCTGTTTTGCCAAGGAAAAAAGCACTATTTGATTAAAAGTTGCAACAGGTCGTTACTCTCTAGAGTAGACAAATTAACCCTAGCCGCCTTCCATAACTGACACCTTTGCCTCCACCTAAACCTCCTCTAGCGGTGCTTTGGTATTGTTCTCTTGCAGCAGACAATAATCCTTTCAAGGCAAGTACCACGAGACCCTCAACGCACGCGCTGCGACAACAACGGACAAACCGCACTTTATTTACTATCATGCCCTCGCAACCCAACCCTTATAAAAGCCCAATCCCAACCAATTTGGACACCACGCTCACTTGCTTACCAGTTCCTCAGAACGCCTTTCTCTAACTTGGTCACCATCTTTGCTTTCTGCCTTTCTAGTTGCTTTTGTTTTCCTTTTTGAATTCTTGGAAAGGGAAGAAAAAGAAGGAGAAGAAGAAAGAATGCATTATCAGGGTGATTCTTGGGGCTTCTACATGCCAATGAGAAGCATGGGGTCAGACCCGATGGAGAGGGTGGTGAAGCTGGCCTCTGAGAGCGCAGTGGTAATATTTAGTGTGAGCAGCTGCTGCATGTGCCATGCTGTGAAGAGGCTTTTCTGCGGAATGGGAGTGAACCCAACCGTGTACGAGCTGGACCAGGACCCCAGAGGGAAAGAGATGGAAAGGGCACTGATGAGGCTGCTTGGCAACTCACAATCCGTTCCTGTTGTTTTCATTGGAGGGAAGCTGATAGGTGCCATGGATCAAGTCATGGCTTCCCATATTAACGGTACCCTGGTACCACTTCTCAAGGAGGCCGGAGCTCTTTGGCTTTAATCCTGACAATATTATTAGAGAAATAGATGCCTAATTATTAATTAACCAGGAATTACATGCATTTTGCCAAAAAAAAAAAAGTGTTGGAGTTCTCTCTTTGATCATGATCTCTATCCATTTTTATTATAAACAATTAGGTAGTTTTAATTAGTTAGTCTGTTAAGTTTTGTTTTCCAAGGAGATTTTGAGTTCTCCATAAGTCTTGTCTTATGACAAATGGAATTAATGTAGCTCAGCATTGCCTAATTGTATAGAGAATGTAAGCTCACAACTTATCTTTGTTTGCTTGATTTCTACAAATTTTCATCATTAATTTAAGTTAATTTGTTCTGTAATGACCGGAAAGCAGAGCAAAAGAAGTGTCCTTACGAATGGGAATTAGAAGGCCACTAGCTACGACATGACAGGGTCTGTGGCATAATCATGAATAATTTGCATACTTTCAAAGAAAGTAGAATTTTTTACCCACAAGGTTAGTCAAATGCTACAATTTTGTAAATTGGATATGGTTGTTTATTTTGATTATACGCGGCTTAGATTTACACATATATGCAGATCTACGAAATATTCTTTAATTATTTTTTCTTAATGCTAATTGGAGTTGCCTAATTGAGGTGTATTTGATGTAAATGGCTTTTTTTTTTTTTTGTCTATCTTTTTCCTTTTTTTATATTTTAATTTAGGTGTATTTTATACCAAAAAGAAAAAAAAAAAAAAAAGAAAGAAAAACCCTTCGAAGGTGAACTCCAAAGTCTAAACACAAACAACGGATATAAGATGAGGCAGGAAGGGGGAATTTGTGTGGATAGGTTTTAAAGATTTTATTCTCTGGTATCAGCTAGCAATTTAATTTCGAAATGTCGCAAGAATGAGTGGGAACATCATTATGGTGGCGCACCAATGGAAGGGAACACTTTCATAGTAGATGGTGGTCAACCCTTGATACAGCTCCTGAATTATATTAAATATATAGCTGTACATATTTCCATCATCAAACTATAATGTTACTATTTTTCTTTTCTCTTGCTTCATAAAAGCCATGGCGTTGTACCCTAAAAGGAAGGTAACATGTACTGTCACAACTTAAGATGCTAGATTTTCTTCAATTTTTTTTTAATTTTTGGTAGAGTAGACTAGTATATATATGTTAGAAAAGATTTTTTTTTTCTTGTAAAGGAGGGTTAGTGCCCTTATAAGGGAGGAAGGAGGATGGTGAGGTCGTAGCATAATTAGTAGTATAAATTATGTACTATATAATATATATCCAATGAGTATAATATATTAATAGTTAAATTATAATTTAAGGTAATGTTTGATATATAAAATAATAAAAAAGATATAATGATAATTATTTATATTATGTTTGGTTTGTATTTAAAAAAAAATATATTAGATTGTAAGGAGGTTAATTATCTTCTTGATATAAGATGATTCAATTCTCCTAAAATGAAGAAGATTTTTTTTAATTTATGAAATTGAATTTATATATTCTATTATATTCTTAAAAATTACATTAACAATTTAAATTGTATAAATTTTGAAAAAAAGATAATTTTGACTAATTAATAGATTATCCTATCTTGATTCATGTACACATCAAACATAAGATATGATAATACTATTTAATTTAATCTTATTCATAATATCATCTTATTCTATTTTATCATAATTTTGTATATCGAACACTTTTAAAGCTACTAAATGATTAAATCATTTTTTATCCATGACATTTACTTTGAATTGGATTTTGCCCAAACCTCACCTTTTGTAGAGCAACTTGCAGGTCTGGCGTTATTTGGGACAAGCTTTAGATGAAAATTTTGAAGTCCAAATTTGACTTGACATAATTTTTTATTAATTCAAATTTATTTTTATTTTATTTGTAAAATATATTAAAATAATTGAACATTAATACAAAATAATTTTAAAATATTTTAAATAATAATGAACCTAATAAATGAGCTTTGATTGAAGAGTTTAACAGGGTGTTGGATAAACCTTCAAAAATCATCAAATGGATCTAATTTTATCTATAAACACCTCTAGTTTTACCTATAAAAAGGTAAGCAATTAATGTTAGAAGGATTATTTGTGAAACTCATAATAAACTTCTTCCCCAACAACTCATAGTCACAATAAGCTTATTGAATGATCATAGAGAGGAAGAGTTGTATTCAAAAAAAAAAAAAAAGAAAAGAGAAAAAAGTGTTGCATGAAGAATGCACAAGCATGGCATATAATTGGTAAACATAAAATTGACATCTATTAAATTAATTATCCGATGAACTTGTTAGCTGAATGAGTTGTTAATCTAACACTAACATGATTATTTTCAATTTTTTTGGTTAAATATACAAATGATCACCCAATTTTGATAAACTTTTAAATTTGGTCACCAAACTATGAAAAGTGACTATTTAATTTTATAATTATTTTTTTATCACCTGATCATTAGAAAGTAATGGAATGTTTATATTTCTTGCTATATATGATGCTAGTGATCACACGGACATAACCATGTCATCTGAAAGGCCACACGGCTAAGATGAATGGCATATTCATGTGGTGTTTTTTTTCTTTTTTCTTTTTTCTTTTTTCCCCTCCTATGTGATGTTGTTTTCCTTTATAAAAGTGATTTTTATCTCATTTTTTCTTCCTTATTTTCTTTCTCTACCTTTTTTCTTTTAAAGAACATTGTTTGCCAACACCTTTTAAACTTAGATTCTAGCAGTGGGCTACTTGTCGAATAGCCTTTCATCATCATTTGTCGTAACTCATCAGCATCAAAAAATTACCTCTAAATTTCACCCAAATAATCTTTTTCATCTCCTCTTTCAATCTATCAATTCAGATTTTTCAAAATGTCTCCAAAAGGCCTAAATTGAAAACCTAAAATCAAAACTTTATATGGTCAGTAGAGCTTTCTAACATTATGTAAACGGCTCAAAATCACTGTAACTACCTTTTCCACTTTTTATATTCCCTTTTAATTGTATCACTTTTTAATAAACATTGTTGTTGCCACTGTTGGTGATAGCCCTAACCATTAAAACCTATTAACATCATCCCTATGGGGAAGCAACAAAACAAATCATAGAATAAAAAGTAGTAAAAATTTTGGCTGAGTTATGGAGAAAGGCGGGTGTAAGCAACCATTTTAGTTTTGGGTTTTTAGGTTATAAGGTCTTATGATCTTAGGTTTTTAGGTTGTTTTTAAAACTTTTCAAATTTTGAAATGGTATAGCTAAGGGAGAGAAAGCGTGAACTACGTAAGTGATGGTGTTAAATGGTTAACGATAGCAAATCTAGGTTTTAAAGTCTTAATTTATTTTTAGGTTTAGGACTTTTTAAGAATTTTTAGCAAAATTTGATCTGATATAATTAAAGAATGGATCATGGAGAAAACTTAGGTAGATTTGGAAAAATGGTACTAGCAAGCAGTAGACGACTGTGGTTCTCACCAATTTATGAAAAATGATGGCAATTTGTTTAATGAAGAAGAAAGTAACATGAGAGAAAGTCTAGAAAGAAAAAAGTGTTAAGTATCTATAGTAATAGATTGAGGGACTCATTTTACATATAAGATTACAAAAAAATTAATATTTAACTAATGTGGGATAATACCACTGTAACAAGCCCACATATAGGCAGAGATAAGAGTCTACTATATGACAAACTTAGAAGGGATAATAAGCAAAAGTAATAAGACAAAACAACATAACAAAATGAAACCTACTCAGATGGAGCTGTTGAAAGATATAAAGCTCATTTAATGGCCAAAGGTTATACTTATGAGTATAGGATTGATTATGAGGAAACCTTTGCTAACTTTTGTGCAAAGCTTGTTAGCCATTACTGCTGTTAAGCATTAAAAACTTTTTTAGATGGATGTTAAAAATGCTTTTTTAAATGGTGATCTTCAAGAATAAGAATTTATATTGCCTCCACCTCTCCTCACAAGCTTTGTAATTTATGCATTTTTATATGGTTTGAAATAGGCACAAAGAGCATGGTTTGCAAAATTGAGTTCTATTATTACCTAGCTAGGTTTTATTTTTAATCCTAATGACTTCACATTATTTGTTTGACATACAAATCAGGACATTGTCTTTTTATCAGTAATTAGAAATAAAAGATCTTGGCTCTTTCAACTATTTTTTAAAGTTTGAGGTATCATCTAATTTTAATGGTTATTATCTTTCTTAAGCTAAATATGCATCTAATTTACTTTGTCGGGCTAGTCTTATTGATAGTAAAACTGTCTTTACCCTTTTAGAACCTAATGTTGCTTACTCCAGTGTATGGTACTTTGCTTCTTGATCTTACTTTTTATATTGCCAACTTGTTGGCAGTCTGGTTTATCTCAAAGTAACTCAAACTAATATTACTTATGCTATTCACCTAGTTAGCCAATTTTATGGCTACTTCTTATTCAATAGATTTCTTAGCTATTCTTTGGATTCTCATCTATGTTAAGGGCACATTGTTTCATGGACTTTATTCTTTTGCTCACACTTTTTAAATTTTATCTTGATATTCTAATATTAACTAGATTGAAGATCCTACAAATCGTCATTCCACTACTAGTTTTTTTTTTTTTTTAGATTTCCTTATTTCTTAACGAACATTACCAGAAATTAGAGTATCACCGATGAAATTTTACTAATGGAATTATTCCATCAGTAATTATCGATGGCTTATCAACGGATTATTAAAAGACCATAATTATAAAAGAATTCGAAATCATTGACAAAATGCCAACGAAATTTATTGATGAAAAGAATTTCATCTATATTATGTATGTAAATAGGTAAATATTTGTGAGACTTGGATAAATTTACGCGATAATTACTAAATAAATAATTCATTGATAATCTATCGTTAAAATATATAAATTATCGAGAATTACTAAAGAATTATGCGAGAATTATCAATGGATTATCGATGAATTATTTTATAAATAAAAAATAAGTTAAAGCAATTAAAAAATATATTAATTTAAGAAAAACAAATTTTTTAGCGACGGAAATTTTGCCGCTAATCCGTTGATAACTAGAATCCAATTAAAATCCGCAAATCCCTATCTTGTTTTCCCCCTCATAATCCTTAACCAAACCCCTTTCTCTCTCCCTCACCCTTGCCGCTCTCCTCTCGTCGTCGTCATAGCCGTCGCGCTGTCATCCCGTTGCCAGAAGACCGATGTCGCCTTCGCACCGCCATTCCACCGTCGCTCCTGCAGGTATGTTTCTTTCTCATCTCGCCGTCGTGCATCATGTTTCCTGTTAAAAAGAATTGGTTGATTGACTACATTTTTGTTTAGCCTATTTACATTTTGCATCTTTAGTCATTGAATTTTCCATTTTTCATTTGGTAAACCATAGATCTGACTTCTCTCAATATTTCATCAATATTTGTCTTATATTCTTTTTCTTGGAATTAAGATTTAAAAACCCAACTTGTTTATGAAAGAAATTCATTTTTGTTTACATGAGAGATTGATCTCAGAACACTTAAGTATTGATTAGTTCTTAAAATTTAAGGAAAATCTCCAGGGATTCAGGGTTTTATAAATTATAAGGGTGTTTATTCAGTTGGTTTTATGCATTTGGTTAAATTGTTGTGAAAGTTAAGTTAATTTTATTTGTATCTAATACTGAAACTGACTAAATTTATTAAACCAATAACTGGATAATTAAAATAATTCGGTTAATTAAAGTTGTTTTAACATTTTGAGTTATGTGCTGGGAAATAGAGACAAAAGCTTAGGACACAAAACACAAACCGAAACAAAAGAATGAAAAATGAAAAATGCCCCTAAAAATCAATTAAACAAACAGAGAGAACTGAAGCAAATGAAATTCTGCTCTATCATATTGGCATCCTTGCAGCTCCATTGCTTCCAATGCATGCCATCTTTTTTCTTTTTCTTAATCATTTACTTACAAGTTTTAAGGACTTAGTAGGTTGTGATTGTAAGGAATCAGTTATGGTTCTTTCAAATGATTAATCTTTTTTTTTTTCTCTTTAATACTTTTCAAATGATTAAAAGCTGTCAAATTATGAGATTGGCCCATATAATCACTCAAAAAAAAAAAGAATTTAATCCCTGTACGATAATTTGAACAAATTTAGTCCTTGAACTTTTTGAATTGAGATTTTATGAATTGAAAAGTACAGGGACTAAATTTGTTCAAATTATTATGAAGTGACTAAATTTCTATTTTTGAGTGAGTAAAGGGACCAAGCTTTTAATTTGAGCATTAATCACTATTGCTTCTTTCAAATGTATTTTCACTTTCCTTTCTCCTGTTTTCAATTGAAAGTGTCAACTTTACTCATCCAATAAATTTTGCTGATTCTGTATTTATCATGTATAAGTTACTTGAAGTTATAAGACTTGAAGGCCATTCTCTTGCACAAGAAGATGCCTTTTTATCAAGGGGAAATTCATCTATTGCAGGTGCTTTTCTCACAATTCCCAGTTCATTCTTGATTTTATTTACATAATTGCATGTTAAATTGAAATATAAAGCTGGACACTTTCTGTCATTTTACTAGTTTTGGTACATGTTTAATATGAAATCAATTTGTTATTATTTGAAATCATCTGTAAGTGCATATGCAGTTAAAATTTTTAAACCTCCTGATCTTTTATTTGACACCTTTGACATGTTTACCATAAATTGTATCCTGATTAATTACATTAATTAATCCTTGTTGCTATTGTACTTGCAACATTTGATATGCCCTTTAACATGGATTGAACTTATCTGAGAAAGTCAGATTAATGGTCTTCCTGCTAATTGTTAAATCATGATCTCAGTTTATTTAAATTGCCTTCCTTCATATTTTACAGCTGTATGGAATGTCCAAAATGTGATTGATTGAATATGACCCTGCGTTTCCCAACTTGCATATATTTACTTTATCTGTATTATCATCTTTGTAGATATGCGGTGGAATTGATGAGAGTGCTGTGGTAGCCTGTTTAGAACTTGTCTTTGCTCCAATTGATGAGATGTTTCCAGATGATGCTCCACTGCTAACTTCTGGATTCCGGGTTATCCTATGGGATTAAAAACTAGTTAGGTATCACTGCTCTTCATCTGAATTTTTCTCTTTTTTTTTTTTTTTTACCAAATTTTATAACAATTTGTGAAGTTTACGTGAAAAACATAAAAAAATGTCACCGTAGAATGAGGGAAACAAAAGAGCTAATAGTATGTTTGAACCCATGTAGTGAACTATAAAAAATGTTAATGCCATAGAATTATGACATAATGAGTTGAATGCTTATAACATTGCGGTGACTGCATTATCTCCTGTCATCTACTTGTGCAAGCCAAAATGCTGATTTATGTTTCTAGTCATTCATGATTTCTTATTCACTTATCAGTTTACTTCTCCTGCAGGTTCTAACAAGAGTTGAAACCATATGTCGAACTTGCTGAGAAACTTGGGAGGCTGGCTGTCCAATTGGTAGCAGGTGGAAGTGGTTTTAAAACAGTGAAAGTATCATACGTTTCCTCTAGATCTCCTAATGAGCTTGACACAAGGTTGCTCCGTTCGATGATCACCAAGGATTTGGAACATATATGTATTTTTGCATTTTCATGTAATTAGAATTTATAAAATATTATTATATTTTTTATAAATGAAATGGAATGTTTTATTTATTTATTTTTTCTATTTATGTATATTTTAGTATTTAAATCATTACTTTAAAAATAATTTTAAAAATATAATAAAATGAAAAAATTTATAAAATAATAATTAAATATGATTGAAAAATAATAATTATTACTGATAGAATTTTGATTATTATTGATGAATTGTTTTGAATAATTTTTAATTAATTTTTAAAAAATATTAAAATAATATATTGACGGAAAAATATTTTTATTGAGAGAGAATTTCATTGGTAATTTACGGGATGGAATTTTTTCATTAATAAATCCATCGATAATATCTCATTTTTTGGAAGTGGAAGCAAGAAACAAAATGTAATTGCTCAATTTAGCACTGGATCAGAATATTGATTGTTGCTGAAACCATTTCATAATTACTTTAGCTTCGACATTTATTACAGGATATGGCATTCCGCCATCCTTTGCTGCCAGACTTCATTATGATAATTACAGTGCTATTCGAATTGCTCATAATGATGTGTTTTATGATTGCACCAAGCACATAGTATCATTTTTTATGCCATCATGTGGCACATGGGACTGGTTTTCTTACTTTTATGTCTTTTTCTGAATCAAACTACTGATATTTTTACCAAAACATATTCTTCTAGTTGTTTTAAGAATTAATTAATAAACTCAAACTGACATTTATAATATCATCTTGAGTTTGAGGAAGTGTTAATGTAATATTCTATAATATTATGTAATTATATGATTTAATATAATGTTAATAATTATTATATCGTAATTAAAATAATATTTAATATTTCAATTATCATATAATAAGCGTTTTTTTTCTTAGTTAATGAGAGTTTTGTATTAAAATAGTATACCTTTGTATAGTATTTTCTCAAGTAATGAATTCAGAATTTCTTCTTTCCTGACTAAGGGAATTAGGAAAATGAAAAAAATTGAAAATGGTTTTGGCTAAGGACTTTTTTTCTTTTTTTTTTTAATAATGCCATGTGGTTAAATCATGTGGCATTATCTGTCTAGGTGTATCGTTACGTTGGTGGGTGGGGAAAAACAATGGCGGACCTCCATTAGGGCTAAGGGCCCCCCTCTCCAAAAAATTTCAAAATCCCTTATATATATATATATAATATTATATTATATTATAATTGTTTCATATATTTCTATTAAATTAAATTGGTTCTTATATAAAAATTGGTATTTGTTAATTTAATTTTTATCTTTAATTTAACTTTATATATTAAAATTTAAGAGAAATTAATTATATTATTATTTATCATTTATTTTATCCATTATCATTATCATAAATCTTTAACAATAATAAGTTTATCATAAATATAAAATTACACTTATGCATCATACTTATGTATATTTAAAAAAAATAAATTAACTTTCTTCTATTTTCAACAAGATTTCAATCTTCAATCAAATGTTAAAAGTATTTTTTTTTAGTCTATTGTATTTGTTTTTTTATATTTTTATGACCGTTTTTAATTTGTTTGTTTAATAAAATCTTAAATGAACTATATTAATTGTTCAAATTTTTTAAAATACTTGTATTTAATACATATGATAAATATGAATAACAAAGTTAAAAAATTCAAATATATAAAAAAATTTAAAAAAAATATACCCATATTAAATACGTACCTATACTTGACACTCATTTCATATTTTAAATAACAAAATAAATTAAAAATATGTTTAATTTTAATTGACTCCTCAAAATCAAATATCAAGATATGCCATTGTAGAAAAATGTTCCCTTTGGATGGATTCATTTTTCATCTCAACTTAAATGACTGACAAGGCTAGATGCCTTGCTCCAGTCTAGTACGAGCCATACATTTGCTGTCGAGAAGAAAGGGCTAGGCTTTCTTTGAATGTACGGTATCCATCTGGATTTACTATTATATCTAGGGAAGCTCACTTGGTAGCTAATTTCATAACGTGCTACTGCAGCTTCTTCCCTGTCGAGAAATGTCCCTTCTTTTTATCTCTAGCATCCTCCGTTCTACTTTCAAGCTATCTTGAATTTTGTAGAATCGACAACAAAACACAGCACAGAAGCATATTAGCTTCACTGGGACCTGGAACAGGGGGGGCCAATCTAACCCTAAAACCCTTTTTTTTTCCCCTCACAGGATCCCCTGAGTCGAGCTTTGGACCACTTCCTTTTGTGCCCTTAGATTATTGGTTGATAAAAAAAAAAAATTCTATTTACACTCCATTTGTTACTATAGACACCCTACTTCTAAATACACCTTAAATTTAAAACTTATTTTTTTATTTATACTAAATACATTTTACTTCTCATTTTTTATTTTTCGTTGCTACCTTTTCTCTGTTTTTTTCTTTTCACTTTTTGAAATTGAACTTATCGAAAATAAATATTTAAGAAACTTTAAAATTTTTCGAAAATGAATATTCAAGAAACTTTAAAGATTCTTGGATATTTATTTTTAATTTCGGATATTTATTTTTAAAAAATCTCAAAATTTCTCGAATATTCATTTATTAGAAGTCTCAAATCTTATTGGATATCCATTTCTAAGAAACCTTGAGTTTTCTCAAAAATGGATATCTGAAAAAATTTTAATTTTATCGGATATCTATTTAAAAGAAACTTAATTTCACTTATAATTACTAAAAAACTTTAATCATGTGCTTATGAACCTATTTATTTGATATGTATGTGAATAGAACTGAAATCAATGTTCTTAACATGCATGGCATAAGCTTGTTCTGCCTCTTAGTCCTCTAGAAAATCGAGAACACTATTTTTTGGATTTTTAGTTTTGCATGGGCAAAATAGAGTTTGTCTTTTTGAGCCTAGGGCAAAAACATCTTTATGCCTATGCATGCTTGAGAACTAAGATGTCTCTTCCATTTGCACATTTGATTAAGTAAAAATGGGCACATCGATGACTCATGTGTGTGCATGCATGTTAGTCTGAACTTGAACACTCTATAGAACATTGACATTGACAATGTCATCAATAGATTGACAAATCCGATAGTATAATCTTTCGGCTACCAATCCTTACTGTCGGATTTGCCAATCTGTTGATTTTTTTTAGTAGTTTAAAGATTAGAGATCTCAATTTTTTCACTATCAAAAGTTTATAATTATCAAAAGTTTATAATTAAATAAATATTTAAAAAAATTTATGTATTATCGAAAATGAATTTTTAAAAATATAAGATGACTCTCAAAAATCCATTTTTGAGAACTCAAAATATTATTGAAAATCCATTTCTGACAGTTATATTTTGTTATCGATAATTCATTTCTAAGAATTATATTATTTTCTCGAAAATGAACTTTTGAGAACACAATATAACTATCGAAAATCTATTTTCGAGAAATATAAAGTGGTTTTTGGATATATAAGCTATTAAAGGTATTTTATCATTTATTAAAAGTTAAAATTGGTATTTGATATATAAGTATTTTTGGAAAAAAATTTACCAGTGTATAGAAAAATTTTGGTGATGCATTTAGAACACCCCTAAAAAATTCTTTGTAACATTTGATGATTAAATAATTATTTTTAAAAAAATCATTGTAATATTTGATGATTAAATAATCATTTTTATAATTAGAGGAGTAAAATAAAAAATGGATTAAAATTGAAAAAACTTTCATGTATTTTATTTTATTTGAAGAATGGGGATTTGAACTCTGTTCTTTTAGCAAGAAATCATGCACATGAATTATAGGGAGTTAATTGATTAACGTAAACAAAAATGTCTATATATGTTCATTAATTAAACAAATACATTGAATTATATACATTTATAGGAATCTGAATGCATCCCTAAACCCTATCCATTTTTTTTCTTCTTTATTTTCTGTTTGTACCCAAAAAAAGGTGTACGTTGAAGGCTATATTAACTTGGGAATCGAAAGATTGGATATGATAAGGGTGGGCATCTGCTTGGGTAGATTGTTTTATAGATTTTATTCTCTGGTTTTGATGACCACTAAAATTTGCCAGTGTTGCAAGAATGAGAGGGAACAATCTTTATGGTCGTGCTGCATCGGAAGGGAACACATTTTTTACGGTAGAGCATGGTCAACTCTAGACGTATCTCCTGTGCTGTAAGCATCGATCAATATTTAGCTGTATACATATTTATTCTGACTGTCAAAATATAAATAAATAAAATGGGCATCATAATAAATATGGTCCTTGAATAATGTCAGATATGTCATTTTAGCTCTATCTTTTTGTTTGAACGAATTAAATCCTCATACTATTATTTATTGTTAATTGGGCCTAAATTTAACGAAAACCGATCACGTGCGAGCATGTGACTAACGGTTCCCTCTAAATTTTAAATTAAAAATTGGATTATCAGGTTCTTTATAAAGCGAAAATTGATCCCAAAATTTTAATTTAATGATTAAAAACACTTGATTGAACATAAAAAATTTAATTTCAAATCATTTTTTTTTGTATTAAAATTTTATCTTCTAATATATATATATATATATATATATATATATATATATATAAAACTGACTCGAGAGGAACACATATTTATGCTTGTGGCAAGTAATGTGACATAAAAAACCAGTTGTCAGATGGTTTAACATAAAAATCACGTGTCATATAAAAACTCTCATTCTAATGATATGGCATTTGATTATAAAAGAAATAAAATCAATTGAACTTTATTATAACAAAATAAAAGTTTAACTTATATCATAATGACCCTACAAAGTCACTTTTAGATATGATAGAGAAATTTTTTATAAATAAAATTAAGATGATAATATGTATTATTTGATGTATATTTAAAAACTAAAAAAATTAATTTAAAAAAAGAATATGTATAATTATTTTAATTTTATTTGTGGAATTAAAATATTCCACTATCAATATATCAAATAAATTTTTTTAGAAATTCACTAAAAACATGCTGCTTCATTATTTTTTAAAAGTTTTATATAATATCATATACTCATCAGCACCAAATTAACTTTCATT